CCGGTCGCTAGACAAAATTCCTATGGTGCAGCGCGGAAAAACACCCCCACAGCTGCGGTACTGACGGTTCGTTCCTCTCGGAAAGGCACAGGTGTCATCGCACTGTCACGGCGCACGCAATTCACGATTGCCGCATAGGATACCGCGGCATGTCTCTCTCTCTCCCTCCCTCCCTCTCTTTCTCTCTCTCTCTCTCTCCCTCTCTCTCTCTTTCTTTCTCTTTTTCGTTTTTTTCCTCCTTATATCTTTCTTCTTGTTGTACGTGACGTATCGGTAATCGCGACTCGAGAAACAATCGAAAATTTCGGGGAGTGGATGGAACGTGAACCTCGATCGATGTCCGTGCGCAGACTGCCCGCACCATCGTCGCCGGTTGCCTCGCGTTCGTCATACTACGGTCCCTCGTTGCGTCTTTCTCCCGCGCATGTTTCCGTTCTTTCGTTCTTTCCCCCACCTCATCCTCCCATCTCCCGTCCCGCTCACATATGCACGAATTTCCCTTTAAAATTAATTAATTATATAATAATTATAATTTTTTATTAAAGTGTAAAAATTAATAAGAGAAGTATAAGTTAATGTACAGTATAAAATAATATGCAATAATAGAAAAAATGTACCTCAATAGGTGAAACATATATATTATATCAGTATAAGTCTTGCATATCAGCGTTGTCTTGAAGTCTAAATCTATAATAATTACAAAAAAAAAAACAGTTAATTACAGACAACAATTGCAAAAACACAGATAATAACACATTGTATGAAAAATAAAATCATGTATCTATATATTTAATGCATATACATTAACAGAAATAAATTCAACATTACAGAATAAAGGAAAACAGAAAAAAAATTGTAACGAAAAAGTGATATTATCTATCGCTAAGAATTTTTTAATGTTACGTGTGATAAATTTTACCAAACTTTTTATGCTTTGATAATATTATACTATATATTATACGTTACCATATGGCAAGAAAAAAATATTCAAGAAGATTTAGGAGTAATTCATTTTGATATTGTCATGTGGTAATAGTGCAGAGATTATCGTGGGTTAATTGCATTAAAACATAATAGCTATCGCACAGCTGATAGTAATTTAAACTTCTTCACGTGCCTTTTAAGCCAATGACACCTACAGGTTTTTCGTAGGATGTCACTTCTTTTATCATTTTCTTTTCTCCGGTATTCAGTTCACCATTCTCTCCATAAATATGACTATATTAAGTAGCAACATCCATATAATTATTATTTAACAACACTACTTCGTTTCTCTTACAATCTCACCAAAATTTTGCCAAATTTTATATTATAAAGAATACAGTTACAATATAAAATACAAATATATGCATAAGTTTTGCATTAATTTTAATTTGTGATAATTACAGTTAATTTTGTAAAAAAAATTTAATATTTCTATCATTTACATTAATATTTCCATCGTTTATATATAATATATTTTTATTGTAGTAAAATAAATTAATTATGTATTGTACTCATACATTAAACACACTGTTTAATTAATAACTATTATACGTCACCAGTTTATGCACTGAGAAACATCTGTTTAATAATTATAATGTTCAAAATAATTCGACCAAAATTTTCGGCGAGATTAAATTCACTATTATTATTAATACGTTTGAAATTAGTAATAAATTCATATAAAAGTAATGAATTCACATAAATCATTTTGTTAGCACTTGTATCTTTATTTCTGAAAATTGTACAATTATTAATAAATGAGTCGAAAGTTACATAATTAATAATAGTACGTAAAACGATTTCACAATCAAGAAATTTATTTAAACTACACAATATATTTTGTTCCACTTGGGATACTCGGTTGGAGGTCTAAGTCCGCCGAAGCTCGTTGTCGGATATGACGAGACATCATTAAGATTCCGTACGTCGGTTTCAAAATCAACTGACATTTGTTCTTTGTAAGTGTGAGATAGAAGAAGGGCACCACACCCAAGGTTGGTGTTTTCCTCGTGTAGACATGGCAACTGATAAACTTTGTTCGCCATCTGCATTCGAGAATAAGTATTCTTCAACGCGTCATTATTCGTGTCATTATTAGCGTTCATATAATAGCTTTCAGAATAATTAACACAAGAATAAACGAACGCTGATAATAGATTTAGAAATAGAGTAATAATTAGTGTAATATACGATGTAACTTCCTGTTCAGGAAGCAATAGAAGGATTGCATAAATGATTGAGATTCATTTATTAGTAATTGTATGTTTTCATCGTAAGATATATATGTATATTGCACTATAATAAATTAAATCACGCTATAAATATTTACAAGATTTCAGCCTTTATAGGAATTAATAAATTTAATAAAAAACGAAAGTTCTATTATTTTTTATTTCTTCTAAGAATTTTAAAGCAAACTGTGCTTACGATAAAAATAGAACAAAATAATTTCAGAAATAATCAAAGAAACTGACAGGCGTGGAAAAACAATTCCGTAATTAATGCAAAAACAAATGTAACGAATTAAGAACAAATAGCCGGTGAAATTATAAAGGGTTTATAGCTGCTGCATCGCAATTACGTTTGTTCGAGAATGATGAGCATTGCGTTTCGTCTTTGAAAGCGGTCGCGACTAAGGATCGAAAAGCCTCTCCGCTATTCTATATGAGAATCTTAGCTCGTTTAAGATAAGTAACTGCCACGCAAAAACTGGACATTCCGCTGATATTTGTCCTTTTTTCATTCCACCCGTATATTTTCTTCTTTTAACTTTTCATCGCTTCGTTCGAAGAGCGATGACACTTCAGTCTCCATTAGATGCATAATGTATATAATTCTAATGCAGTCATCTAAATTCTAAAAATATATATGTCAAACTACATATTTACAAAGCTATTAAGAGATTATAATGTAATTATCGCATTACAAATGCACGCAAAGTGCAACTCAAAATGCAAGAAGATACTCGGGAAAAAATATTAAATAATGGACATATTATATATATAATTATATATAAATATGTAAATTTTATATAATTTTATATAACTTTATATTATTACATAATTATATAATTATATAATTATTAAATATATATTTATATATAAAATA